TGTGCAAGAGTAGATTGCATAGATAAGTGTCGTCTTGGAAACTATAGATAAGATACTGTTAATTTATGCTATTTTACAGACGTGGAAGTCTGACAGCTTGAACTTTTCACCCATGTCTGAACTATGTGTTAGGGGTTTTTTACAACAGAATTAGGGAAGTAAGTGACACAGCTAACTGCATGTCCATTTTCAGTTGGAAAGAAACGCCTGAAAATAGAAGATACCAACATACACACACACCTGCTGCCTATATGAACATTCTAGAATACTGACGTGTAATGTACCACCCATGTATAGGGCAGTCCCAGCCCGAGAAGATAAATGTAAATGTTTTGTGATAATCGAGGCTCTTGGAGACTTGTCATCTCTCAGAGCCCAGCGCTGTAATAACTCTGCATTTAACCAGAAGAAAATAAATCTACTTGAAGCTGATTCCTGTATCCTGAGTGTTACTTCTTGGGGCCTTCAGACAAAGGAACCGGGTTAAAACTAAAACTACACTTGTGGACTATAATATTAGAAGAAAAAATACAATATGCTAACATTTTTATCATTATTAATATTTCTTAATTATTTTACAAAGCATTATGGACTTTAAAATTAATCAAAAACAAAATTACATTAACCAATTAATTGCTTGTTATTAAATAAAGGTTTGAAAATTGTGTCTTTTACAGTTTGATTAGGCTTAATGATATCTTAGAATTGAGAAATGCATCACTAAAAAGCCAAACATCTAAGTGCATATGCTTTAATTTTTTTTTATTAGTTTCTTTAAATGTCTCAGACATTGTGGCCAGTGTTGAGGCTGTCTTTGTGTGCATCTGGTTATCCAGCACCACACTTGAGACATGCGGCAGTTGAATGGGACCTTGGTGCACGCATGGAGGTATGCTCAGTTGGCATACCCGAGAGAGCCATGCGTGGCCCTAGTGCACTGGTCCAGATCAGATAACTCTGGAACAGCCTGTCCTCCTCTACTGGTCAGCATCTCTAGTCTGTGTTTGTTTCGTTTGCCTCAGATCAAACAATTTTTACTTCATCAGTTATGCACCCTTCGCTGTGCATCTTTTTTGTTTTTACTTTATATCCACGCTTATGGATACGATGACTTGTTTTTGTCTCCAGGAGTCACTATTAAATATGACAGCTCGTTCTCCACTTCATAACTACTCAAGGTTTTCATGGGCTGGAGTCTGGTGCTCCATAGTCTTTAGATTTTTGCTGTAGCACTTCTGACTTTCGCTGCTTTTCTTTTCAGTTTCTGTGTGAGATTCCTGTGTGTGCACCCTGCAGTCTCATTTCCTTTTATGTGGATTGGCGAGGTGTTTACCTATGCTAAACAGGAACAACTGGCAAGCACTTTCAACCTCTGAAGACACGGGTATTCTGTGGGTTAACAATACATTCATGAAGCAGATGTAGTCGTTTCTGAGGGCCTTTCTTAACAAAAAAAAAAAAAAAAAAAACTGTATTTGTGAATGAGGCCAACTGAAAATAAATACTCTTGCACTATTAGGTCATACTGTTTTCCACTATCTAGACACAAAGGTAGGGCATCTCCCCAAACATGCAGGTAAAACCAAACATGTTAGCTGAAACCAAAATAAGAAATAACCAACAGAAACAAAAAGCATCATGCACATTCAAACAAATAAGTGACTCGGCCAGAAACAAGACTCAACAAGACAAGAGATGTCAGTTCAGTTGGCAAGTTGCAATCCATACCCAACATGGTAAGAAAATTTAAATACACAATAAAGAGCCCAGTTAATTTCTGGTATAAATATGTAACTATTATGAAAGTCAGCTGACAGCAGATTAATCTCACACTGCCATTTAAAACAGGTTCTACAACAACACATTCCTCAAAAAACCTCAATGACGGAAGACAAGTACAACTGAAATTCCTCACATAACATGTGATGTTTACTTAAAATACCTATAAACTTTATACTTAAATCAGTAAGTTATAGCATGGATGTTGAAGCAAGTCTAGCCTCATTAGTTAACACATTACAGCAATAAGATTTCCACTCCTGGAGTCATAAGGAGCTCTGCAGAAGTGATGACTATTACTCATAACATTCATGTAACATCCCCTTGAGGTCAGACTATGAGAGCAAACAAGAAACTAAATCAATCTTTGCCTCTACACCAACGGGATGTATTAACAGTCCACTCCATTAGACAGTGGCAATACAAGGATGACAGTATAAGCAATTAGTCAACAGTTTAGACTGAATTAGGCCAGACAGTTTACTAGTTAAACTAGATTACAAACAGCAGTGTCTTATGTTACATGAATCCAGACAGAACTTGATCCAAAACGTCTACCAGAAAAGCCTAAAGATGTGAAAAAGGTATACCTTGAAACTACATGTAACGTTAGTAGCTTTATAAAAGCGACTTGCGTTTGTAGGATGTCATCTTGACTGTCGGAATAAGCTGACCTAAGCACGTAGTAACGTGACGACTTAAAGTGAAACTTGCCCGTGAAGCATTACACGAAACCGAAGTTAACGTTATTAATTAAGTTCGTAGGGTAAAGTAATTCAGTAGCCATCTGATTCAAGTTAACAAAGACTCTAATTGACTCACCAGCATTTAGTTTCCATAGCGTTCTTTACGAAAGTACACTGAAACACACTATACAAAATCATCAGAGAGTTTAAACTCATCACTGACCTATCGAGAGAAGAAGGGACTTAGTCAGGCGGGCGCTAAGTGACTTATACAAAATCATCAGAGAGTTTAAACGCATCACTGACCTATCGGGAGAAGAAAGGACTTAGTCAGGCGGGCGCTAAGTGACAAAAACACAATTTGCACGGTGGAGAACAGGTGTTGATACAACCTGGGTAAAGCTTACGCATAATTTCTTCTTCTCTCATCGACTGAAGCACTGCTACGCCGAAGTGGCTCGGAGCTGCCGCTTATGGGTGGATGCAACATTACAAAAATGTTCCTGTAGTCCTAGTCTGTTGTATTCTAGCTTCCGACCACTACTGTCACAGCTGAGCTAAAAGATGGTAAGCAGCATTCCGGTCACTGGGTGAGGAAGAAGTAATGTGCCATTTTTTTTTACTACATGGGTTGTATTAACTTCAACTTCAATCATCCCCATTTCATCGTAGTTAAGGCGTCGTGTTTTATTACTTCACATCAGGTTTATTTCCGGATAGGTCACTGAAAAGTTATTACACTCAGCGCCTTCACATTTTTTAAACATTATTTTGAAAAACACCGACATGCTGAAATAAAAGGGGTTACACTGATAATACATTGGAATCTGGATAAGGGCTAGTCATGGCTAAGTGTCTTTGGCGCTGTCATTACTGAATAAATGGAACTAGCTTATAACAACACTGAGTGAAACGGAGAGCATTGGCCATCTAACTCTCAATGTCAAAGTCAAGAAATGAATGTGTCAAGTGCTACGTCTGAAACACCATGTCCAGGAACTACTCGTTCAATCTATCGTTTATCCACTTTAGGTTGTGAACTAACAACCAAGGTGTTGCTGTATTTTAACCCAAATATTACTTAAACATTATAGTGTTTTCCAAAGACCATAATTAGTTTTCTGGTACAGTTGTGCAATGTCTGAAAGTCTTTCTAATGTCTGACTTTAACATGACTAATTTCGGAATGTTCGATCCAGAGAATAGTCGGAGCCGCCGCCAACTCGGGTGAGTTCATGTTATGTTAACGATAGCTGACAGGAAAAGTCATTACTATAGTTAAATACCTTTTCGACGACACATACATACCTTTCCTTTAATGAAACGATCCAAGGTATCTATAAGCCCAGATTTTAAGATGACGTCCTCATGATTGGAATATCCTAACTTCTCCGGACTTCGTCGGCTTCGCGCAGCTGTCTGTTTGCCAACGTTAGCGTTAGCCAGCTAACGTTAGCAAGCCAATATTAGCTAGCAGTTCTGCCAACTGAGCTAATAACTTTTACTAACGACATGCATCCATTGTTTTGTGTAGGCGATGATCCTCGAAACCTAATATCCAGGTCAGCTGTGAGATTCTGAGAAAGAAATGTCGATCACCGCTTCCGAGATTGCCTTTCCCGGGTTACTATGTTGATGTTTCTCGGTGAAACTAGAGTATCCAGGTTGGGTAGGTAACAGAGACCGAAATATCGCGAGAGTTAGAACACGTCACTCGTTGATCATCCCTGCATACTCTGAATTTTATTGTTTTGTTTTTTTTATTATTATTACATTGTCGTTCAACAGTATATTGACGTACTGAGTGTATGAAGTCTATAATGTAAAAAAAAAAAATTAAAAGCACAGTTTTGCTCTTTAGTAGGCTAATTATATGACACGAATTAACTGTCTTAAATAGTTAATATGTTATTTTGCTGTGAAACATGTAGATCAGTGTTTTTATTGTGCATTTGCAAAATAATTAGAAATAAGATTAAATAAAATAAAGGATAAAAAAATAAGCTAGCCTACTGCTTTTGCAAGTTTAACAGACGTATTGTCTAGAGTAAGATTTGTTTGTCAGGCCTCTATATGGTTGGGTTTCTTTAAGAGAAAAAAGTTTAATCAGGACTTAACTGAAAAGTCATCCATTAGTCAGAGTCAGGATGTTAATCTGCAGTTTCAGAGCTGTCAAAGTAGAGGTAGCTTTAACTTGTGTGCGTTTACTGCCACCAAGCGGCCTACATGTGTATCACACACACTAAGGCATAAGCATATGTGTACACACACGTACACAGTATACAGTATGTGCTACATGCTGTAGCATCACCTTGAACGTTCCACTCATTCAAAACCCCACTAAACCAGACTCCAGATAATTTATTTTTTAATCACAAGATATTGCTTCTTTTTTTCATTTGATCGAGATTATTATGAGTCGAATCAGGATGTTTTTTATTTGTCCCTCTGACAACAAATTAAATGCACATTATAAAAATGAACAAAATATTTAATGTGTGCTCCCTGCTAGCGGGTGAGTCATAAAGATATAAACTGCAGTGCAGCCTGCTATAGCCATTAAGGCAGTGATTCAGGTTTCCAGCTTATATCTTCTGATTTGACCATGCAGAAGGCAACAAGTAGGACTAGATTACCTGTGCTGTTTATAAGCATTAGGTAGCTTGATATTCATTTGGAACTAAATAAACGGATACATGAGATGTAATTAATAGTTCAGATATGTCAGGGACCTTAATTGTATTTTTGTGGTCTTTTTCACAGAAGACATTATAACTGGTAACTGCTCCATTTTCCCCTGGTTAATAAGCCCCTCCACACACACACACACACACACACACCTCCACCTCCCCTCTCTCTCGCTCTCTCTCTCTGTCTCTCTCTCTCTCAAGAGTACGGCAGCTGTGGTTGTCTCTGCTGCCACATTTTCATTTTCTCTGCGAGGTTGAACAAAATGGAAAGGAGTTCTCTCTTTTTAGGTAAGAAATTCTGAATAATATACAATATATTTTCAAACAGGTTTTAGTTAAACCTCTCAGTGGCTCTGTGACTGTAATGAGCATTTAGCATACTATCTAACAACTCGAGTTTTTTTGGCAAAAATATATTTGTGTTTATATTTGTGTGTCACTCAGAGAAACGGTGCAGAAACCTTCTGTATCATGAGGGGGTCTTCCCTCATTTATTTATAATGCTGATCAATGAGATGGATAGGTGCATGCTTTTATGTGGCTTACAACATAACAGTCTCCAGTTTTTTAATAATACAGTTCAACAGCAATTACATTTTTCAATTAAATGTTTTTGTATGTTCCTTTTGCCTTTAAGATAGCACTTCTTTGCGTAGGCAAATCTGTTTTTTTATGTCTAAAACATGACCAAGTTAATAGTATACTAAGACTCTGACAGACAACTGTTCCCTCTTCACTTTGACTTTTACCACTGCAACAGGATGAGAGCAGAGGAGAGTTAGTCATTGGCCTGATTGCAGATACAAGAAGATTCCAGTCTTCATATTCAGAGTACTGCTCAGAGTGTGTACCAGTGTAAGGGCCACATGAAGGCAGGTTCTGCTAATTACTAAGTGGTCCTAATCCAGATAATGATATAAGTACAGGAACAGAAATCTCCCCAGATCAGTCTCAGAGCTTGGAGAAGGCAGCGATCACTACCTTAATGAGAGAAAACTCAAGACATTTGCTGCACTGAATTAAGAGAAAGTCTGTGCAAAACAAGTTGTTAATGGGGTTTAATCATCCATCCTTCAGCGTGGTTGTTTGTCTCTGTCCTTGTATTTCTAAACTAGCAAAACAGCCTGTTTTCTCAAGTCATGAGATTTTGACAGTGAAGGAAGGGGCAGTTTGAATAGTAAGTGTTTATGCCCGGCTGCTGAATGTAAGCACTGCGTTTCCACTTGACGTCATCACTTCACATCTCTCATTGTCCTGCAGGAGGGCCTTGAAATTGTAGTCATGCAGTCTGCTATAATACCTAAAGTGTTATTAGGCAGCGTGCTCAGCTCTGTGCTAGAATTGCTCAAACAATTGTTTTTGTATGAGGGTAAATGGACCAGTATGTGAATAAATCCTGCTTCTCTGGAGAGTCCTGTTAATTATTTCATCACATAATAACTCATCATTTACCACAGCTAAGTGTGGCTGTATTTTGCTGCCATTGTCTTTTGCTAATCTTTTCTTGTCAAGTGTTCTGATTGTCTTCACTGAATAACAGCACTCTCCTTGGAAGGGGTGTAAATTGGTTTTCATGGTGTATAAATGAGTTCCTCTTTCCAGCACAAAATGGAACCTGACTCTACCTCTTGAACTGATTCTTATATAAAAATGAGCTGAATCATTTTTAAAGACAATTATATCTTCTATAACTGTTAGGTTGTTACATGCTAAGGGTTTCCCTGTTAAGCTCTTGGTAAATACATATGCAAGTAACAAATGTACAAAATGTAATAAACCAAAACAAAAAAGAGAGAGAGAGAGAGAGAGAGTTGAGACCCCTGTAAAATGCCTAATAAGGGGTCAAGGGACAGGTGGTAACTACACACTAGTTCAGGCATCAATCCTGGTGTGTTTTATTACAAAGCCTTTAGGTTTAAAGGCTTTGTAATAAAATTAAATTTAAATGACCAGTGACACATGTTTTAGATGCAGCAGCTACCAAGTTGGACTTCACTACTTGGCTCCAGTGCAGACCTTTTAATTATTTTAACATACTTTAAGAGCAAATTTAGAACAGCACTGCTTTAGTTTATAGGCCTGAAGGCTTGTATATACAAGTTATTGTGTATAAATGCATATTTGCAACTGGACAGTTTATGTAACTGAAGCATGTCTCTTGTCATTTTAGTGACATGTAAATACACTAGACGGCAAGTCTTGTGCTGCAACCTAAATCTTTTTCTAGCACTGAGACAAACATACACACACAGTGCTGTTTAGAGAAATAATTGCCACAGCAAACTACCCCTCTATGTCACAATATCAGCTGCAATTTGTAAAATATGATTCATATCTAATGGTATGCACAGCCACCTTGTTCAAACGATTATGCTGTTCAGAGGCCCCACACTGCCAATACAAGGTTAATTACAAGATTTGGTGCTCTGGGTTTTGACAGTACACTTTGCTGAACAACTTCAATAGTAGGTTCATGAATATCAGATTGAAGTCATGTCTTCATTGGCCTCTCTGTCCACCAAACATCTAAACATCATTGAAAATGTATGAGACATTCACATGTACAGTACATTTTGCTTTGTTTACCCCCAAGCACTGGAGAATTTCTTATTTGAAAAACAGTGTAATATTTCAACACAGAGTCTAGGAACAAGAAAACAAAACCCAGAGAATGACAGATGCCTTTTTAATGTCAGTGTCAGTGTATTTAGCCTGCTCTATACTAGGTAAATGAAAATGTCACTTTTTAAACGTTGTTGCATTATTCTCAAATAAGTTTAGTTATCAAATGATGTCTAAAATCAATAATTATGTCACAATACTGTGGAAATGCAGTATGACAGTTCCTCAACTTCTTGCCTCCCCCACCCCCACCCCCTTCCACTTGAAGCTAACTGACCTCCAAATGATTGGACTATATTAGTATGGTGGACATATAAGTGGTGTTGATCATTACTGATCTGATGTGTTGCATGTAGGCCTAATGGTCTTTTGAGGAAGGTCGTCTCAGCAGTAGGATCCCTTTGAGAAGTGTATTTTCATTGTTTGAAGTCTACCTGTCTGCAGCTAAAGACCTAGAGTACCTGTTAGGGTTAAAACTCTTTTTAGTCAAGATGTGAGCAAGCTATTCAAGGAGGTCTGAGGATCAAAATGAGTAGAAAGTCCATAAACGTGGTTCAGAGCTGTGCTTTTTACTTTTTCTTCCTTCCAAAAGTGCAAAGTACAAATAAAAAAAATACAAAACTCACAGACAAACAGACACAGAGGGTAACGGGTAACTGTCATCTGCATATGTGATTTGGCACAGGTTTTATGCCAGATGCCCTGCTTGACACAATCATCCTATCTTATATCTTATACTGGGACCCGCACACCCAGTAGCTGGGTGTAGCCACTGCACCTGGTGTTCCCTGGTAGTCCCCCATCGATGTACTAACCAAGCCCAACCCTGCCTAGCTTCTGAGATCAGGCATGACCAGAGGAACATAGCTACAAAAATTATGTTGTTCCTTATTAGCACAGTTGAGCACTCGGATATAAAGTACATGTCCACTAAAACAAAATGAAAGTGATAACACAGAAAACTAGTCCACAATTTGTTGCTTTTTATGTTCGCTGTCACATGTCTGTTACTCATATTGTCAACTAACCGACCTTTTCAAACTGTAGTTATTCACTGTTTATGACACACTAGTTACATAATGATTATATGAAACTTTAATAAAGCCTGTACTGAAACCGAGTCGCTATGGCCACAGCATAAAATATTACAGTGGTAGTGTACAGCAAAGTAGTGTGAAATAAAATAAGATTAAAGTAAATGGATGGTGAGTATACAGCATCAAATTGCACACTGGGCGCAATAAGTATTGTGCAGAGACACATATATGAATGAACAGTATGGTAATATGTGTACAGGGTGTATGCAGGATATAGCAAACATAATTCCAAACATACAGTAATTGCTTAAATAATAAATGAATGAATACAACAAAACAAAAAGGTGGCTACAACAGCTACAGTATACATATGCATCTACTGTATATATGCACGCATACATTAAAGTTAAAATGAAGACCTAAAAAGAGAAGAAGAAAGGAACAAAACTGAGTGTATAATTTACAGGATAAGTGAAATGTTCTGTTACTTGTGTATAGATAATATGTAGGCTGTTTTAGAAAAAAATGATCAGTGCCATTAAATGCATTCAATTCTCAATACAGAGGATAAGTAATAATACAGAGACAACAATAGAAGCAGAGGGATGTGACTGTGGGTGGAACAGGTTGTGGTGGCAAGGTGCAGTGGAAAAAACTTTTCTAGTTTAGTTATTATCTTTCTATAAATCATCAGTTATTATTGTCTCAGGTGGGGGACTTTCTTTTGTAAATACTGAACTGGAAAACATGAAGTCTGCGGTAGTTGCATACGTTTTGAAAGAGGAGGACAATGCAGTTGTGGTTGATGGTCAGAGGATAATTAAAATAAGACCCAAGTTATTGCAATGTGACCTGGGCAGAATATAAGGAGCTTAACATTAAGCTATTACCTGATCATTTTTTCCCATCAATGGCTTCTTGTAGGCTAAATTTACTCTGGTCTGATGTTCTTTGTGCCTTGTCTCTTTGTTTCCCAAACTATGATGTTATATCCACAGAAGTGTAATACACATTGTCTTGCACACTTTGCATATTTGCATATTGCATACTCTACAGTGTGTAATAGAAAGTTGTAAATTTAATATGTAGGTACTCTGGTACCTAGTACTAAGGTACTCTGTTGACTAGTAATATGCAGAGGCTGTGTTTTTGAGGGAGTCTTTATTCAAAGTTAGATGCTCATTGAGCTGCCGAACATCAGATGTCTCACTCAGAGGACTCTTACTCATTTATTATGTCCGTAGACTTACATATGTATACTATTTACAAGCGTCAATGTTCCTTACTCTTGAGTGAGCTGACTATTCCGTTGAATTGGTCTTTGGTTTTCTGTTTGTACAAGGCAAACAAAGCTTTAAGATAACCCAGCATGCACAGCATGCAGTGTGAACCAAAGAGCAGGTGCCAAAGAGTATTGTTCTGTACCCTCTGTACCCCTGAAGATTCCTGTGTTTAAGATCTCCTGCACCTTACTACAGTGGCTATTTTCAGCTCACTGAAATTTTGCACCAGATTTTTTTAAACACATTACCCATTAGAGTAGGTTCAGGTAATATAACCCATCCTGACACATGTTTGGCCACTCACCAGGTTGAGGGGACAATGTGGTTAAATATGATGTGTAATCAGGCAGTGGTGTGGGCCTTTGTGAGCAGCAGGTGTGAGAAGGTTCCTCGCCTGCCATAGCCTCTCCTTCACTCCTCATTATTGACCTTGCAGACACCTGGCTGGCAAAAAAACAAGCATAAAACCAGTTTGGCCTCTCTAATATTGTGATTCAGTTTTTGTCAAGGCACACATTCTATTGTCTCCTTTTATTCAAACTGTGACTTCACAGTCACTCAGGACATTTGTGAGTAGCACACTAGGTGTTTGTGATTTGAGATAATGACCGTCTGAAGCTCAGTGCCTAAGACTAATTAACAACAAACCCCTTAAAGGCTAATGAGGAGAACTTGATCAAACTCACAGTCAACTTTCTTGGCAGTATGGTTTTGATAATTGTGTAGATCAGCCACAGTGGAGTCTGGGAGGCAAGCAGGCAAGCCTTGATGTTTGATGTTTGTGCATTGCAGGGTGTGTGTTTTTGTGCGAGGTTTGTTGTTAGGCTGGTGGTCACATGAGAGAGTAGAATTAGACATAGCTCTTTTGTAAAGATTTCAGCATATCTGTCTAATGATGCAAATTCTTCATCTTACTATTCCTGGTCACAAAACATTTTTTTCTACCTTTTTTCTTCTAGATTTTTATGACAATAAAAAATTTATCTTGAAACACTTGACACAAGGCAAACACAGTTTGACTGGCTCTGTCCAAATGTAACCATATCCTCCCTTCAAACACACCTAAAACCCACTAAACACAGACATGAAAGCCGGTGTTAATTTGTGAACGTGCACAACATAAAGCATGTTAATTAGTGAACTTTAGAGGTGCTGGTAGCCAGATGCTGTTACCCCTGGAGAGACTTGAGACTTCATGCTAAATGACTGTTGGCTGTGGTCTTATATTTACTGGACAGATTTTCTTGGTAGAAAAAATTTTGAATTATTTTTAAGAAATGACATACAGGATTGTTTAGTGTATTTTTGAATCACAATGTATTGATCTCACTAGCAGATGGTAGATGCCCATAACACAGCTTATATGCCTCTTGAATATACTGTTGGTTATATATGGATAGATATGCATAGATAAACACAGATAAAATGGCCTTTGCAAACTGTCACTGCATCATATACTTGTTTTCTGTTAAAAACTGGAGAATCCTAAAGAACAGCCGTATGCTTGTGGCAATACAAAGTCAGTGTTAATTGTCATATATGTGTTCTTGCCTGTGTCTAGCCTTCATCTTCTGGAAAAGGCTCATTTATCCTTCAACCCTAATCATATTTGTCTAAATAATGTACTTTCTTTACCTTTCAAGATTGGCAAATCAACTTTGGTGTCTAAATATTTGTATCGGTTTATTTTATTTGTATTGAATATGAATATAGCACCTTTTCTGAGTCATTTTATTTTGTTACCCATTGTGTGGCTCCTGACAGGGGGAAATGGCAGGAGCATTTCCATTGATCTGGTACTTAAGGATCCATTTTCTAAATTATGTTCTCAAACTGGCTATCTCAGTTGGAAGCCTAGCTCATATTTATTAAGCAGCCACTATTAAAACCACTTCACCAATGGGCCAGTTATTCTCTCCACCATATAAACCATTAACTCTGCACAGAGCAAGAAATTTAAGGTGTCAGGGGTAATGGGTGTGGTCAATCAGAAACTAAACATCACTAAAGAAACTGTTATAAAAGTGTGCTTCAAGAATTGATTTATAAGTTTTTAATTTCTGACTGGGTATACATTCCAATCAGTGTAGCCGGGTGGTAAACTTATACTAAGGAGAGATAAATACATAACTGGATAGTTTTCCACTTATGGTGAAAGGTGCCCTAAAGGTTCTTAAAGTTCAAATTTTCATGTAATTTTCATGTTTTTACCTGTTAAAGTAACACAGTTTAATTTTGTTGATGTAATGTGAAAGTAACTTATAGTGGGCTGCTGGAGTTTAATGTCACCTTAGAACCTTGTGCTGAGTAAGATGTGTATGTTCCGCCAAAACTTCGCCAAGTGCATTGTGCATTTCTTTATGTTTGGACTGAACTTAAGAAGAGTGGAGTGCAGTGATTTTTTTTTAAACCTCTATATGTCATTCTAAGCCGATGGTGCTGACGGCATGGAGGTTGTGGTCGCATGGTACAGACCCTTGTCTGTACTCTTCGGTGTGTCCAACGTGGAGCTGGTGAGCTTTTGGCGGAATCCAGAGCCCACTGCCGTATTTTGTTATTTTGTCTTCCTGTATTTTGTGTAAATAAACTTTGTGACCTGCTGGACAAGAAAGCTGCAAGGACTCCGGTAACTGTCCCATGTGTCCACCAATTTACCCGGACTACATCAGTTAGAACCCTATAAACAGTATTCTTTTAATAGAGGTTACAGCATGTCTAAATTGAGTGGCCATTAATGCATTTCAACATTTATTTCAATTTATTGATTATTTCACCAATTCCTCTGTGTTGCACTTAAAAAGCATTGAAATAAGCTATATTTCCCTTCCAATATGAGATTGAAACACAAGTCTTCATTAGTAATGTTGGCAGCTTTTTAGTTTTTTCAAATAATTGTAGTGTTTTTAAGGCAATTATAAATTTGTAAATGAAACCGAAACGTTGTTGTTTTTGTGAGTAAATGTGTTATTTTTGAATGTTGCTATTAAACCCATTTATTAGCCAGATAGGGGCAGCACAACAAACTGTAAACACATTACTGACATTTGGTTTTGAGTTTGTTTCTTAAATGTAGTTCAAGAACAGTAAAGTTGCCAAAACAATGGATTCACAGATGCTGAACGAGAGAATCTATGATGCGGGACTTTGTAAATCATAGTCACTAACTGGCTCACTTTCATTAGCTTTAATGAGCTAAGCCAGTCATGCTTGCCTCAGGACTCGATTAATGTTTGATGATTAATTTGCATCTTTTTTTGGGGGGACCTGGCTCATGAATTTAATAAACCAGTTTTTGTAGATTTGTATTGTTGTAAAGCAAAGCCAAATTGGAAGAATATTCTACCATCTCAACTTTTGGCTTGCTGCTTTCTACCCTGAGGGTTCTAGTTATTCCCGAGTCTTTATCCTCTTCAGTAAACATAAGATATTAGCAAATCAAGTAGTATGTAAATACTGTGTCGGTGCAAAAAGACTGATATCTGGAGGGGTAAGTGGAGACCTCATGAAATCAAGGAGAGGAGGTGTGGCATTCTCACAAGTGATACCACTACCACCAACTCCAGTGTCTCTGATCATTAGTACCTCATTCATAGCTCTGTACACTTACTGACAGTAGTCTAATTAATGGATCTCAAGGTGCTTAAGCAGTCTGATGGATTTTAAGACAGCCAAATAGTTTTTATCCTTTGATCTTATTTGCTCTGCACAGTGACATCATTTCTTTCTTTTACTGCTCAATATCTTCAATCCACAAATTCTCTAAGGCATTTTCTCTCAGAGGGACTGCAAAACCATAAATTTATAATTCAGCTAACTGACATGGTGACGACTTTATAAAGCTACAGTAGAGTGGAAGCAGTGTCAGTACAGAGGGTTTTTGCAGCAATAAGATTGTGTATTGTGCGCATGTATTGCTTACATACCCAAAGCCATACTAGTCTTCAGTGCTCCTACACTAAAGGAGAAGATGGGTTGATAAGAATTATTTTTTGACTGTTATAGCAAGAGCAAGAGATTCTGCATCTGTAAATGGGAATGATGTAGTAACCATGCATTAAATTTGTATAGGGGTGAAACACAGTGCTGCTTCTGCATTTTCAGCACATGAATGACAGCCCATAAAATATACAAATTCACAATTTATATTTTAACCATGTAAATAATCAGATATTAAAGCATGATTTTTATTTGAATGCTACCTAAAGTTTTTACATTGCTGTGTGTCTCTCACTCTGCAGCACTATGCTGAGATCCCAGTTGGTGTTTCCACCATGCTGGAACTGGGCTCCTGTTCGGTCAGCTCTCAGTCTCTGACGGGGGACCACAATGCTTTGGGGCGACCTAGAGCCTCAGCAGGGCCAGGGTGTCCAGTGGATGGTCTGGGTCTGAGCATGGGGGTGGTGTGTGATAGCAGCACCCCCAGACTCCACAGCCTACACCCGCCACCAGTGGACAGTGAGAGCTGGCAGAAGCATCGTGCAGGACTGGCCGGAGGGGCCAGCTTGTATTTTGAGTCCCACTCCCTGCTGGAGCCCCTGAGTCTGTCAACCAGCTACGAAACCCTCTACCTCCCACACATGTCTGACCATGCTTCCCCTCTACACCCAAACCGCCCGGGCCTCTCTCTGGATGTGGCCTCTGCTTTTGACGTTGGAGGAGGGGGCCTGGGCATGGATGGAGATTTGGCGGTCAGTCCCAATGTGATCAAGAGACGTCGGGGCGGTTTGATCGAGCAGAGGGACATTGTGAAAGCTCATCAGGCTCACAAGATACACAGTACACCACAGGCACGGCGCAAGGAATGGGAGTGAGTATGATGCAGATATAAATATAATACCCTGGCGTTTTATAGTTTACCCCCTAAATTACCTAATTTTCCTTCAGGGCTATTTTTCTTATAAGAGGTACTGTGAAAAGAAGTTCAGATCCACTTAAAATGTTCATAGCATAGAGAAACAGAGCACAGCTGCACAGTATCTTGAACATTTGTAAATATGAGCTTTTTTGGAATCAGAGAAAATTCATTTCTGTTTTGCACAGTTTAGGTTGTTTTAATTTCACTGTGACAGAGTTCAATACACAATATGTTGGTTTCTAGAAACCAGCACATACAGAGGACAAAAATGAGGACTAGTTGTATAATGATAGTATTCAGGTTGCAATGTTTCTTAAGGAAACAGCTAGAGGATGAGCTGTGGCTCCAAATGCAGAAAAACTGACATGGTAGGTAAGTGTGCTTCACCAGTTTATTAACACACACACACACAGGGGAAACACTAGGAGAAGTAAACTACATGGGGAAAGGCAGAAGCTTACTGGATGCCCAGGCCAGCTCAGCTCAGCAGGGTGAAGTAGAGGCAAACCAAGTCCAAACAAATGGGTCAGGTCCTGAGGGTTTGGCAAGGGCAAGGTCCAGGTGCAGGCAGAATGCAAAACACAAAATAACACAAGACACTAGTACGCTAATAAGCACGAGTATATGGGATAACTACAGACTGAATAATTACACAGATAGAGAACAGGTGAGCATGGGTGGAGCGGGAAAACAGGGAAAAAGGCAAGTACAGTGTTAGATGAGAAAAGTGTGGAAGCAAAACCAGGCCAGGGAGTGTAAAGCAGGTAAAGGTATTTGTATATTGTGATATTGTAAATTTTCTGTGCATTTAGTTAAATGATGGGGAGTATAATACATTAACTCTCTGTAGCAGTACATTCAGTACGGACTCTCTCTAGGGTGCAATTAGAAAAGCAAATCATAGTTAATGTTCAACAAATAAATGCAGCATGTGTTGACAGGAGTTACACTTAATAAAATATTCAGTGCATGGTGTGTAAATGTTCACAACACTATTTACTGTGTATGATTGCAGGCTTAAAGGAACTGTATGACATGTTAAGGAATAGGCCTATTTGCTTTCTGTCAGAAAGATGAAGTTGATGAGAGAGTTAGATTCTTATATAGCCGGCAGCATGAAGATTGGGAAGCAGTGGGATCCAGCTCGCCTGGCCCTGTTTAACCATAACAGGGACCTGCCTGCTGGCACCTATAAAACTCACTTATTAATATTTTAACATATTTAGAATGTAAAAACAGAAGTGTAGAAACTATTCTTGGCTGTGAGTAAGATTCCAGGAAGTTCATTCACATGGTCCTACAAATGTGTGTGAATGTGAAAGTGCTCTGTGTGTGTGTGCACGCGTGCTTGTATTTACTGGTTTCCTGTCCTGCAGGGCTGTGGAATTTTTAGCTGATTATAGTGGTGACGTCCCCCTCTGTTTGCCTGTTGAAGCTGCAGCTTTGCCTCTAGTGGTCTTGGCACCCCGTGTGCGCCACCCCCCGCCTTCCTTCCTCACCACAGGTACAGGATGCCGCATCCCATGCTGAGTTATGTCTATTGCTACAGAGACAGAGATGGTGGTGTGACGTTGGAGAAGGTAGATGAGAGGTGCAGACGAGATGGAGGATATGCAGTGAAAGAGACAAAATGTAAATTAGAAATGAATAATTTTGAATGAGAAGGTATCCTACTTTAACTTGTATTTGATATATAAGTCTATGTGACAGTAGATGATTACTGAATTAGGCCTGTAGAGCTGCTCAGTCATGGGCTAGATAATTATTCTCTGCCTTGCCTAATGTAATTATTACAACATTACATGACAGAGCTCCACTTCTGCTGCTGGGAGAGCAATGACCAGAGTGAGTCAGGATGCGTTACAGCCGTGAACATCCACACCTCACGGCCACTTAATGGCAAAATCACAGGCACATGACAGGAGGATGGAGAATGAGAAGTTGCACCTGAGCCAAAGTTTGCACCTGCTTTAGTTTTTCAGAGGAACCTAATCTGATTTCAGACCTAGTGGGAGCTGTATGTTATTAAAAAGAAAGCCTATGTGAGTTTTTGTCCAGCTATGAGCATCGCATATCAATCAGCTCACTCACTCACTCTGTCCTTTGGTTCACTTTAGTCTGTAGAAAAATAATCCAGCAATTGCTGGCCAGCAAATGTGTAATATTTCTAGTTCCTAGTGAACTATTTGTACAGTAGCGGTGAACCCTAGGCTACTATCAGGTTAAAATTTGCTCTTGGTTGATTAACTGAGTGAGGAAAAACCCATTTGTGTCTGGTCTTTCCATTAACTGGTCTGTAGCAGTGACATGGTTTTAGGCCTGGCTCTCTTGGGGTTATCCAGCTTCACTGAGCATAACATTGGCTGTCCTGGGTAACCACCGCCACAAAGCCGGTTATCAGCTGGCTCTGTTAAATCTGAGGCTACAAGCACGTTCATGTGAGAGAGGTGGAGTTGTTAATTAGAAGAGACAGTACCAGCACCATGAGTGAAGTAGGCCACTGAAAATAATATAAGATGGAGCAGTGACACCTGCGGGAAAAGGTTTATAAAGAAAAGGTGATGTTACGGAGGGTGAACTGCAAACAATAGTCACATAACTACAATAAAATAAGAAACTATAGAAACTATAGGAATAATTTTCAAATATTAAGGGAAGACTAAGAATCTAGTGTACATTAGCCAAGTATTATTTTAAGAGTTTTATTCAGTGAGTATTCTTTTCCTTTGTCTGATGAAGAGGAAACTGTTGTCAAAAAAGTCCAACTCTTTCTGCTGCAGTAGTGGAGAGGAGAGGACAGTGGGTAACAGGTAGTCAGATGTTCATTTGTAATCATGGGAAATATTTAACAGAGTATGGATTATTTTTCTTATAAAAGAGCATAATCACAGAATCTTATCATGTTATTTTGAGCTGCAGTGATGGAAGCCTGTAAAAACACTGACAGTTAGGAATTTAGTCCATAATCAAATAATTTTGTGCATTTAAAATAGCATTGATCATTATGAAGGCTGCAGACTCCCTCAGTTTGTTAGAAATTCAGAAAGCCTGAAACAGCACAATGATATGACTGCTCTATATAAACATTTATTTAATACTTATCACATAAGTGTAGACTCTGACCCTGTCAGGATCCTGTAGAAATAATCAGTTTTTCCAGTGATCTGATTGGTTGGTGCCTGCCCCAGAGCAAGCTAGGCGTGGAGCATAAGTTACCATGGTGATCTAGCCCGATTAGAAATGAGCCAGCTTTGTGGTACTGGAAAATCTGAGCTGAGCCCAAAGTTAGCTGCCTAAGCCATTAATTTCGCTTCATGGAACAGGGCCCTGAAGTGTGACAAGAGGCCCAACATATTTTATAAGGGCTCACAAGCCAAAAGAAAGCTGGGAACTACTGGTTTAATGTTTAAAAAAAGCAGTATGTTTTTATAGTGTCTAAAATGCAGTGGAATAGAAATATGAAAACGACTTAAATGGAAATAGCAAAAGCATTTCAAAATTGTACCTTGTCCTTCAGTCAATGTATTTAACTAGGCTGCTTTCGGCTACTGCCCAAGATGGACTCGGAGTGTCAGAGCGGGCTCCCCAGCTTTCCACTCATGTCAGATATTGTAGGACAAAAGTCTGTTGTTTAGAATGGTCTAACAGAAGTAAAGAGAGAAGCAGTACAGGAAAAGCTGTTGGCTCTGTGGGAGTCACAAGTCAAAGATTCAAGGGAGTTAAAATCATGGCAACATATGCTACATCCACGAGTCATTAAGCTGAACTTGCAAGAGTGGCAAAACTATCTAACATAAGCACAAGACTAATTTCCAAGTGAAAGAGACTCTACCACAGGATGGTTTTTAGTGTATTCTGGAAACAACTAGTAGTCATTTTGTGACAGATTGTGTGTGTTTAGAATCCTGAATTAGTCCCTTGACTTGTGTTAATTTCCATTCTTCCAGGTTTCTTGCATTTGTGTGTTTATCTTTGTACTGTTCTTAATAACTTCTGTGTGTGTGATGGTCCTCACTCCCTGCTCAGCTCTGTAAAGTGATGTAGTATAGATGAGACTGAAGTGGCCGTGTGCAGTGAGGATACAATAACAACTCCACAGTCTCACAGTGAGTTTAAAAAAGAGTGAAATTCAGTTTTTTCTTTTTTCATAAACAACATCTGCTGTCATCTACTGAAGTGCTTGTTTAAATGTTTCTTCTAAAAGCTCTTGGTAAAGTATAAAGTGCATAAACTCAGAGTTTATATTTTGATGTATTTAAATGGTGTAGAAAGTACGTTAAAGGCACATAATGCATTCAGTTTCCTGACTTGATTACCTTGGCATTGGACCAAGTTACTGATGCGAGCTGAAGCCAGCTACAAGACCATCATTATATCATTTACAATATGGACCTTTTCCAAAGAAATAAGTATTACTGCAGGGCAAAAAAAAATTGATTCATACCAGCTAAAGCAAGTACCACTTTGTTGTATCTATCCTCAGATGTTTTTCACTGATCATTTTGGTTTTTAGAGAATTACTCTGCACTAACACTGATCACAGGAATTTCCCTTTTTTTAATGATCTGACATACTGTCTGTATGTTGTCATGGCATCCTGTCTGCTCAGCTGACAGGCAAAAAACACATGCATTTATATGTTGAGGGATGTCAAATTAACAATTCATGTAATACTTCACAGTTGATGTATTTTGGAAATGCTGCAGGCCTCAGCATACACATAAAAGATGAAGACAGTATCACTGCTGTTGCCACTTTGTGTATGTACTTGTGTGTATACCTTTGAACGTCCTTTGTGTTATCAGTGCAGGGCTGTGTTGGTTCTATTCTCGGCAGGGGTGTTTACAGACTGTGTGATCCTCAATTCTTCTGATCGCAACATGATTGGACCACACTGGCCGTGCCTCTGGCCGTCCATAAAGCGTCCACCCAACTTCACTGCTCCCAGCTGC